CTTTGTATGCTCTTGTCCGTTTCTGTATGCACATGTCCTTTTCTGGCTGCGCTACCCCTCGCTCCCTTTGTATGTATGGTCTTGTCCTTTTCTGTATCTTTCTGCATGCTCTTGTCCGTTTCTGGCTGTGTTGCCTCTCACGATGATGTTGCCAACTCACGTACACCATGGTACACAGCCACTCATGTCTATTTCTGGCTCTACGCAACTCGTTGGACACCGAGTAAATCTACGTGAGTACGGATCCAGCTCAGGCTTTTTTTTGGAGAACACGCTGAAGAAGCAGCCATGCCACATGATGTATCGAAGTTCTAGTACATGTACAGTCTGTACTCGTACTGCACTGCCATGCACTGCTCTGTGTCATGCACCGGTACACTAGTCCGCGGAGCATGCATGCACTTTCAGCATGCTTTTTCCAGCGTGTACGCATCATTTCGTGTGCAGTCATGTGCCATGTGTCGGTCAAACATGCAAATCGGTTATAGTGATGCACCGGATATAGTGATAAATTTTCGAAAATCAAAGGGGCACGTTATATCCGATATTTACTGTACTCCCATCCGCTAAAATAAATAAAATAAAAAAAATTCACGGTTCGCGTGAGACTCAGCTGGAAGCCGAGTTTTCCGCATCCACCGTGGGAACGCCACCACCCTCTAGGATCAAAGGCGCAGATGCAGCGCCTAAACGGTGGGAGGTGAGTAGATCAGACCCACCACCAAGTGGTCAAAGACCGAAATCCCATTAGCTGCATCCATGTTACCCTCGTGCCAGGCCACGAGTTCCCAATTAACTGTGGGTCGCAGCACGGCTGGAAAAATTCCTTCCGCTTCCAAGCAGGACTTGAACCTGGTACCCTCTGTTTCTCAATCATGGTCTTAGACCATCCCACTATGCCTGTCTGTTCTTCCCATCCGCTAAGGGCCCGTCATTCCCCACTCTCCGCGGCACACCCCAAGGTGACTCGTTGTCTCCTGTTCTTTTCATTGTGTACCTTGAGGGTGCGCTGCGTGATGTTCGGCCTCTTCTTCTACCACAACCCCCTGCCGATATCTCCCTGGGAGATAGCTGTAGCTGATTTTTATCTTGTTTTTGTTGAAGATCTTATTCAGTGCTGATCCCTTTGGAAAATGCTTTTTGATGAGACCCAGGAACCTTGCACCAACGTTGGTTCTGACCGTTGTGCTATAGGGCGGGTTAAACCAAATCACATCTCTGCTCCGCCGCTTCCTTCTTTTCCTTTATCCGGTTCGTCACTATATGCTATGGTTCTTGGATGTCCGCTTGCTGCCAGGGCGTCCTCGTATACGGGCTTGGCATTATTGAGACTTCTTCATTACAAGATATCCGCTGAAGACGCTTGTTAACACCAATCGGGATCTGCTTCAATACTTGTGGCGGGTGGCAGGAGCTGACATCAACATATATTATTATTATACTGGAGTGCTTTTTGGTTTTCTGTACGGTTGACAGGTACCGGGGTTGTAGTTCATTGATATGTCGAGGTAAGTAATCGACGACATTTCTGTTAGCGTCTATCGTAATCTTCAGGCCGTGTGTTTGGAACACCTGGATTATCTCCTTACGCAAGTGGTCAGGTCCATGGCCAGTGGCATCCTTCACTATGGCCAGACCATCATCTCGACACAACCCGACACATTCCTCGCCTACAAGAGGGCAGAGCTTGCTGAGCATAAAGGCTCCTACAAGCTCACAAGCCTCAGCTCCATCGTATGGTTTTCTCACTATTAAAGAGTCGACGAGGAATAGGCTTTCCCCAAATCGGCCCATTTTTTCACCTATTCGGCTTTTCGCTCGGTTCAAAAATACATCAGGTTTTTTTTACTTGGTAAACCGGCCTCTTGTACGGGCAGAATTAATTAAGTAACACAATGATACAATAAAAACAAGTACCAGTAGTTACATACATGGACCATACGAGAAAAAGCAATGATGACGAGGCATAAACAAGTGTCTAGTGCTGTATGGCAGCTTCCCAGACAGCGAGTCGAGCGGATGACTCAGCCACCTCCAGGTGTGAATACAGCCGTCGTGCACCACGTAGGCAAGCCACGCTAGCACGGAGAAGGGCAAAGCTGAACCTGCAGCGGATCCATGCCGTCACTACAGAGTATGGCTCACCAGAATACTGATTTGTTGGAGACCATTGCAGCTATTCTCTTGAGGAGAGCGGCAGCAGCTCGACCAGTACCACCAGTTGCTGCGAAAAACACAGGGATGAAGGTTCCACGCTCGACCTCCTTGACGCGCTGTTCGTATCGCCTCCGTTTTTCACGTTCATGACGCTGGTAGCAAGTGTCGTATCCATACGATTGGCACGTGCCTTTTAGGCCTCTACGGGACAAGTATGCCTTATTTAGTTGTTTTATTATTTATCTATCTCCCGTAAACGGGTTCATAATCGTCTTTATTTTATATTTCCCCACATGGCTCCCGCTCTTTATGCAACAGTTCGTACGCATATTTATTACGGTGATACGCTATTGCATGCGGGACCAGCAATCTCGTGGCCATGGATTTCCATGGCCGCAACTAGATCATATTGCCATCTCCTTGTTTTTCTCTCTCTCTCTTGCCTTCCGCCTTCAGGCGGAAGCTTCGGCTTTCGTCTGTCTTGCCTTGTGCTCTCATATCGTCTCTTGAACCAAGTTAGCTCCTTTTGAAGATGTGAGTCAACCTGAACGCTGGTGTGAGTGTACGTGTCTGTATATGCCTGAGTGTGTGTGTGAGAGTATGTCTAGGTATATGTGCGTGCGTGCGTAAGAGTAATTCTGTTGGTGGACTCTCTCCAAGTGGCCACCACTGCACGGCCTTGTAATGTGAAGGTTTATTAGTAAGTTAGTTCATGTCGACGACCGCAGCCTTGGGGTGCAACCCCGGGGCCGACCGGATACGACATTTGGCGCAGTGAACAGGATCCGACACCTTGTGTGCTGTCAACGAGAGAGACATTGATGATTATGACATTGTGATGCCCCGGTCGTTCGAATGGACGGGCAGTATGGATTTTCCGCTGCCCAATCCGCGAATGAACGGACTTCTACGAGATCTCAAGGATATCAAGAAGAAGGTATGGTTGTTCTTGGGCTGTTTCTCTTGATCGTAAGTCTGACGACAATTCCACGTGGCGTCGTAAATCCATTATTTTGGTTTGTGTCACTTGGTATGGACATTCGCATTCTGGAAACAGATGTGGAGCGCCGCCAAGTCAAGGGTTTGATCATGGCGTCAATGGAGAATTTGACCTGTATGACGAAGCTGGCATAGTGGCAGCAGTTTTCCTGCTGCCCTTGTGGCTTGTGTTTTTTTTTCGTGGTTTTGTGTTTGTGACCTTGTGGTTCAGCAGGTGCTGTGAAAAAGAGCTGCTGTTGCCTCCCGCGCTGTCTCAGCAGCTGCTCATGCTCGTGCAGCTATTGTAGCTGAAGCCATTGCTGTAGGGTTTCTACCGCCCCATCGGTGGGAGTGGAATCGATGCCCCTACAGTGCGATCCTCGCTGGTCCCCTGACCTTGCCGGTAAGGAAGAATTGGAAAAATACGCCAGTTTGTATTTGTTGCAAATTGACGCATTTGCAGCGCTTGTTAGCTCTGTGCATGTGGCTGATTGCAGACTGATTATTGCTGAGTCCTAGGCCTTGCGAGTTCCCAGAAGAAACCTATGAATTAGCCTCTGGGATGTAGCTGATGCTATTACCGCTCTTTAGAGATCGGATAGCTCTAGTCTAGTGCCCTTTTCTGTGGGTTCTCAGTCTGTGGGAGTACTTTCTCTGAGAGTTGTCATTATTAACAAAAGAAGGGGGGTCGTTTGCATCTGCTTCTGTAGATTTTCCCGGGAAGTGGAACCCTGGGGTTGAAGTCAGTATCTGCAAAACTTAGACTACTACAGAAAACAATAGCCTGATCTATGTGTTCTGTCTTCTTTGAACATGCGAGTGAGTGTGCGGACATGTTGGTGCCTGGAGCGGTGAATGGATGTCCAGTGGACGCTGTGATTGATACAGGATCCGCCGCTACATTGTTGTCAGAGGATTTTGCCGACCGCCTACCTAAGGAGCTGGAAAAGGAAACCTCTGACCAAGGCCCGAAGTTAATTGGCGCCAACGGGCAACCACTAGAAGCCGTGGCGTCAGCAATTGTTCAGTTGGAACTCGGAGATGCAACCTGTTGGCACCGGGTAAGAATTGTTAAGGGGTTGCCGCGTGATTGTATTATTGGCCGGGACGTATTATCCCACATTCCTTGCACAATTTCTTCGGGACAAGGGCGAATGTTCTTCTCTACCTCCCCCGCCTCAATCAGTACTGTGGGTTCGGATTATGGAGTGTTGAAACTGAAATCTAAAGTGAAAGTCTTTGACCGCCTCTTGAAGGCAGATCTGCGGTTGAAGCCCAGTAAGTGTTTCTTGTTTCGCACAAGTGTTGAGTTCCTGGGCCACATTGTTACCCGGGAGGGGGTTAGGACCGACCCGGGTAAGATCGAGAAAGTCGGAAACTGGCCTACCCCTGAAGCAGTTGGAGAAGTGTGTGGTTTCTTGGGATTCTGTGGGTATTATAGGCGGTTGGCCCAAGATTTTGCCACCATTGCCCGCCCCTTGTACAGCCTGACGAAAACTGGCCAAGTGTTTTTGTGGACCCCTGACTGTGAAACCGCTTTCCTGAATCTGAAGACAGTGCTGACGACCGCCCCAGTACTAGCTTACCCCAGGTTTGGGCAAGATGCATCACCATTTCTGGTAGACGTAGATGCTAGTGGACTAGGGTTAGGAGCAGTGCTGTCTCAGGTTCAGGAAGGTCTGGAACGGCCGAGAGCGTAGGCTAGTCGACTTCTGGCCGATACAGAAACACGGTACGCATCCACGAAAAAGGAATTGTTAGGTTTAGCGTGGGCTCTGCGACATTTTCGTTGCTACCTGCTTGGTGGACAGTTTGTGAGTCTTACGGATCATCGTTCTCTAGAACACTTGGCTAATTTCAAAAATCCACCGGCGATTGTGGCTCGCTGGCTGGAATTTTTGTCTGAATTTGAGTTCACCATATTGTACAGGGCAGGTCGATCGCACACTAACGCTGATGCACTGTCACGCCGCCCTGACGCTTCGACGACGCTGTTCGTAGGGGCCGTGAACAACGACGTTGGCAACATCCCCGCACCCCTCATCCGCCGTTTCAACTGGCCGTGGTCAAGATGGGAAACGGAACAGGAGAAGGACCGAGATCTCGCCCAAGTAGTGTCCTGGCTAGGTATGGACTCTCCGCCTTGCCCACAGGACATGATGGGTAGCAGTCCTGAGGTACGTATTTTGTGGAAAAATCATGAAATGCTGGTTCATCATGAGGGGGTGTTGTGCCGTCGTTGGGAGGACCCTTGCCCCGGTAAGCCGTCTATCTTGCAAGTTGTGGTTCCCCGGCATTTACGTTCATTGGTTTTGCAAGAGTATCATGACCAGGGGGGACATACGGGTTCTACACGCCTGCAGAAGAAACTGACGCAACAATTTCACTGGGTAGGCATGAAGAAAGATGTCTTGGATTGGGTTGCAAGTTGTTCTTCCTGTAGCCAGTTGAAGCGTCCCGTTGGCAGAGGGTCTGGCGCTCCAATGCAGTCTTCCTGGACGGGGTATCCTTTTGAGCGAGTAGCAATGGATTTGATCCCCAATTTGCCGGAGACAGCGGAAGGGAACCGCCATATTTTGGTTGTAGTTGACTATTTCACTAAATGGGTGGAAGCTTTTCCGCTTTCGAGAATGGATGCTTCCACTATTGCTTTGGTGTTTGTAAATGAGTTTGTGTCACGTTTTGGTGCTCCTGATCGGTTGCATACCGATCAGGGCAAAAACTTTGATGGCTCTCTGTTTCGCAGTGTTTGCTTTCTGCTTGGCATAGATAAGACCAGGACAACTGCGTACCATCCACAGAGTGACGGTCTGGTTGAGAGATTCAACCAGACGCTTGAGCGTGGCCTGGCGCACTATGTCTGCCGGAATCATCGAGATTGGGACATCAAGTTGCCAGCCTTCTTGATGGGATACCGCTCGATGCCGCAGACTAGTACCGGCTACAGTCCAAGCTATCTGCTCTTTGGTCGGGAGCTATGCCTACCTCAAGACTTGGCATTTGGATTACCGCCAGGAGCAGCATCCGCAGTAGCGTCCCAGCCGGAATTCGTGAGTGCTCTCCGCCGACGCCTGGAGGACGCTCATGCGCAGGTTCGGGAGCACTTGGGCAACGTGCACCGCTATCAAGCGCATATCCGTGATCGTAACGCTAAGGCCGTGACGTTTGCAGCTGGTGATGCAGTGTGGCTTCTGGTGCCGGCCATTCCCACGGGTACAACCGCCAAGTTTTCTAGACTGTGGCACGGACCGTACCTAGTCGAGGAGAAGCTCTCCGCCGTCACCTACCGCATCAAGCTGTCTGAGCCCACGGCACGTCGGCTGATAGTGCACGTCAACCGGCTGAAAAGTTGTCATCATCGACCGAGTCGGCTGCAGGAGGTTCACGAACAAGATGAGTCGGACCCACCGCAGCCCATGGCATCCACCCTGACTCCGTCCTACCAGCCTGATGCCACTGATGCCGCCGCCCGAGACGAGGAGGACACCGCTCGGGTATTCGACAGTGCTCCGCCAGTTGGCGTGATGGAAAGGCGAACCCCGCGTTCCCGCCATCCACCTCAGCTGTTTGGGAGTCCCGTCTGGCACGAGTAAGGATTTCAGTGGTATTGACTGGATTGGTTGTGGCCAATATTACAGCTAGTCTTTGAACAGTTTTTTTGATCGGAACTCCAATTTTGACCTGCACTCGTTTAGTTAAATTGTTAGCCATAATCTTAGTCTAATTTATTACGTTACTTATAACACGAGGACGTGTTCTTTTCCGTGTAAGCGAGGGGATATGTCGTATCCATACGATTGGCACGTGCCTTTTAGGCCTCTACGGGACAAGTATGCCTTATTTAGTTGTTTTATTATTTATCTATCTCCCGTAAACGGGTTCATAATCGTCTTTATTTTATATTTCCCCACATGGCTCCCGCTCTTTATGCAACAGTTCGTACGCATATTTATTACGGTGATACGCTATTGCATGCGGGACCAGCAATCTCGTGGCCATGGATTTCCATGGCCGCAACTAGATCATATTGCCATCTCCTTGTTTTTCTCTCTCTCTCTTGCCTTCCGCCTTCAGGCGGAAGCTTCGGCTTTCGTCTGTCTTGCCTTGTGCTCTCATATCGTCTCTTGAACCAAGTTAGCTCCTTTTGAAGATGTGAGTCAACCTGAACGCTGGTGTGAGTGTACGTGTCTGTATATGCCTGAGTGTGTGTGTGAGAGTATGTCTAGTGGACGCTGTGATTGATACAGGATCCGCCGCTACATTGTTGTCAGAGGATTTTGCGGTGATGGAAGAGGATCGATTTGAGGGAGCAAAGGGGTTGAAAACCCGAATATCGAGAAAGACTCTCTCGAACCGACCTCCCCAAACACCACTCGCCGCAACATCAAGTCGAGCCTGGTCTTCTGTGGAGGCAGTCTTGTAGCGGAGCTGCTCACCAGAGAGCGGTTGTAAGTGTGGCTCGATAGCGACACTATTGTCCACACGTTTCAATAGCGAGGCAGTGATGTTCCGCACCTCATTGTGTCGAAGTGACGGGAAACTTCCGGTGCTGCATGTCAGGGCATGGGCTACTGTGAAGCTGGCTCCACAGACACAGGTTGACGGTAAGCGAGAAGGCCGCCAGCCATAGCGCAGTGCCAAACCATCGCGGAACTCGCTTTTGGATAGCACAAATCCATGACGGGATAGCGGATGACAAGTGAGCCAGCTGGAGGCGCCAGGCTCACTTGCCAACTGAATTGTGTGCTGCAAAGTGGGCGATGCGTCGGCAGCGAAGCCACGGATGTCGGTCTTCGCTTTCTGGCTGTGATCTGCACGCTGTGACGCTTTGGCCGAGGCAACGCTGGCAAGAGCTTCCGTCACACTGAAGTCTTGGTCGAGGATGTTGGTGGTGAGCGCCGGTGTGATCGCGCGGGATGAGGCGCATTGGGTTGTCAGAGATGTTGGATTGACGATGCCCAGGCCATCATCCCGGCAAGGGAAGGCAAACAGCCGTCGCAGCTCCAGACTGACTTCTTCTCCAGTCAGGGCTGGCAGCAGTTTGGTAACAATGGCGTGTTCCAACTGATCAAGACCACTGGACGCATCCGGCAGAACACGACACAAGAATGTCCAGCGGCATGAGAGAGCACGAACAAAAGTAGTGTACGCTGCCTGGGGCAAAATACATCAGAATCGGCTGCAAAATGGGGTCCAGCGGATAACGCCGCCATCATATTCGGCATTATGAGACTATCCGAGCATCAGAGCATTATGGAGCATTAGAAAGGAACAAGACGAGCATGATGTGAGGTTTGAGCGGCATAACGAGTTTCATAGTGGATACTGTCGGGAAATGTCAGGTTTTTGGCAACAATCGGCTAAAGCCATGAGGTGCAACGCCATGTATTGTACAGGCTGATGATTTTGTGATTGTGTAGACACGAAACAACTTTAGCACTAATGCTACATTTAACTGACTACATAATGCCATTGATACATAAAGGCTTTATGTGGCAGTTTAGTCAGGTAAATGTACATGTGGTGTAGCATGCCCAACTAAGCGTTGCACCTGAGGCTGCTGCACAAAATCCGTTAGGATGATTTACGAGGAGTTTTACTTTTTAGAAATCATGGAGAACCACGGAGGAGACTAGACGTACGCGAAGTGAATATCAAACAGACGAAGAGGAGTTGTCCTCTTAATACAAAAGTGTTATGCCAAACACTCTGGCCATAGCATCTCTAGCGATACAGAAGTAAACACAGATCCATTGATAAATTTGGACCTGGATGAAGGAGCGACCATAAACAGAAAGAGCTTGTTCCAAATAACTACCTTTGCTGAGTCCAGCTCAGCAGGCTCGAAAAGAACTAGAATTTCTCATGGACGCAGTACCAAGTCGATTTGAGTGCTCAGCAGCGCGTGTCTTACTTTCCTGGTGAAGCACGTGCAGTTCGTTGTGGACGATTGTAATGCAAGGCCTACAGTCAAGTGCTATCAGAAAAGAAGAGTATTGTGGCCAACCATTTGTCTCCGCGCAACCACAGGAGAAGAAGACAGCGCAAGCAGAGGATGTAGAGCGGCAAAATAACTTCTGACCACGTGTGTTCAGGATTTCCGCAAATGGGATGGATCTAGATCTGAGATCGTCTCTCAGGAACTGGCCTCACGTGAGCTGTTTCAGATGAAGATATTATTAATTTTGTCACAGAGTGGAAGCAGTGACAGATTGTCTGCAGGCAGGAATATCGCTTCCCATGATAAGCTTCCAGCATCCAAATGATCACCAGCAATAATAGTTTCACCTCTCACTTCATGGATAAGCAAGGGAAAAGATTTGATAAACCCACTATGCAGCCACAGCCCTGCATCAAAGTTGCAATGGAGAGGAGCCAATGGAGACGAGCATGTCTTATAGTGCTAAGAAGTGGTGGCGCTCGTGAGAGATATTGTAGCAGCTTCAGAGGCAGATCGACTATATGCATCCTTTCCTGGAAGTTTGACAATGTGGAGCCTTTCTTTTATTTTATCCAAAACAAGAGCATTATAGACCTTGTCGAAGAATTATAATCAGCATTATGAGGTAGTTGTTCGAGCATTATAATTAGCATTATACGAACATTTTCGGAGCATTATCCGCTGGACCCTATTGCAAAATCAGCTGATTGTTCGAAAATCGGCTGCAAAATTGGACTTTTATTGTCTCCGGCGCTGGCTTGCGAATTGGATGGTTTGGAGGCAACAACATTGCGAATGGACAACGGTCCTCAGCGCTTGTTCAGCACACCCATGAGCGTTACTGACCCACGCTGTTATCTGGTGTTCAAGAGGTGTGTGTTTGTCGAGCTGGAAACGGAGCGTTTCTGTAAGTTTGTATCCCTGGTTATGTCTGTGCCTGGAGACCACTATCTACATGTATGTGGTGCATTTCAGGCACAATCTTCCTCAGCCTACTAAAACCCAACTGATGACGGGTGAATTCCCCGAAACACTGTGTATTGAGCAGGGAGTAGGCACCGGCGGATTATGCCGGCATAATTATTGGCATAATTTGGTGGTTGAAAATTTGGAGCATAATTTGGCATCTTCTCGGAGGTAGGAGCATAACTGCACGATTATACCACAGTTCTCAATTGTGCACAATTCACCTGATCAGTGCTGGTGGTCTGCATGGTAAAGAGTTCGGAGGTCATGCAGATAGTGTTTTCAATGAAAATCAGCGAAGAAATCATGGCAATACAGAATTGTATGCTCGAACTCGTCTTCTTCAAATTTCTTTCTCACACTGACACAGTACATGTAGCAGAAGATGCGAGTGAATCAGCCTTCATCAGGTATCCCGGGGCGGAAGAGATAGTGGCGGGTAGTCCGCAAAACTCCGTGTACATGTATATGAACATTACATGTGTACATTATCGTGCATGTTACGAAGTCATGACCTCTGCATTTTACCCATTGACACCGGATCTCCTCAAGTCTATCGCCGAGCACACAGAAGGCTCCGCTGGCCCTTCCGGTCTGGATGCTGCTGCCTGGCGCCGCATGTATTTGGCGTTCAAAGGAGCCTCAACACGCCTATGCGAGGCAATAGCTGATTGCGACCGCTTGCTTGCGACCCGTGTCATACCATCGGAGGGCCTCATTCCATTTCTTGCTGGTCGGCTAATTGCACTGGACAAGAAGCCTGGGGTCCGCCCAATCGGGGTTGGCGAGGTGCTGAGGTGCATTGTTGCTAAGGCGGTACTACGTGTCGCAGCCCCGGATAATGAGAAAGCCTGCGGATTTATCCAGAAGGCATGCCAATTTTATGTCGGTTCTCGAAAGTCACGCTCCCTGCGTGAAGTCAGAATCTCCACCAGGAGGACTCCCCCGCCATGGTCCGACCGTGATCTATTCCAACTGAACATGCGCAAGAATATACTTCACCGAAAGTGGCTACGAGATAAGACTAACGTGCATCTACATGAGGAGTACAAGCGAGCCCGTGCAGAAGCCTCAAATGCTTACCGGCGAAAACGCAATCAGCATTTCCAACAGCAGTGTCGTGATCACTCCTCCAACCTGCGGATGATGTGGTCCGTGATCAACTCTGTCACTAGCCGTTCTCGTCAACATCATCAGCCAACGTGCGACATTATAGAAGTCTCGGATGCCTTCCACAGCATTGTACATGATCCGTCCCGTCCGCCGCAGCTCCAGATTCCCATTGGTCCACAGCCGCAAGGCTCAATGCTGACCTTCCAGTCAACCACCCCAGATGAGGTCAAGCACCTCCTGGAACGGATAAATCCCTGCAAAGCCACAGGCAGTGATGGGATTCCTGGGTGTCTGCTACGTGCTTGCGCTGACCTGTTAGCTCCATCGCTTTCAGCGCTCTTCAGCTCATCGCTGAGGCATGGTGAAGTCCCTCTGGCTTTCAAACATGCTGTAATAAGCCCTCTCTTCAAAGCTGGCGATCCATCGGTAGCTGCAAATTATCGTCCTGTGTCGCTCCTGCCGATCGTATCCAAACTACTCGAGAAGATAGTCCAGAAGCAACTTGTTGCACATCTGGAGCGATCATGTGCCATACCACCGACTCAGTTTGCCTTCCGCCGTGACCACTCCAAAGAGGACGCCCTAGTTGTAGCAACAGATGCCATCTTAAAGGCCCGGGACAACAAGTTGACCATAGGCGTCTGCCTAATTGACATGTCAAAAGCCTTTGACAAGGTCAATCACAGCCAACTGGTCCGGGACCTATTCGATCTCAGCCTGGACAATGCCTCCCCTCGCTGGTTCTGCAGCTACTTAAGCGATCGAACCCAGCAAGTGCGCATTGGCCCCACCTACAGTGTTGCTGCTAAGTGCTCATCTGGTGTACCTCAGGGCTCGGTCCTAGGACCGATCCTGTTTAGCATGTACACCCGTGATGTCCCTGACATAGCCCATCCTGCTCCATCTCTGCAATTTGCCGATGACATTGCCGTGCACTGCCACAGAAAATCAGTGCTAGCCACATCAGCCTGCCTATCAGGGACCGTCACCAACGTCGCTGACTGGCTCAAGCATCGACATCTGCTTCTAAATGACAAGAAGAGCCAGGTCCTGTCAATTGTACCACAACGCAATGCGGGTCAGCATGTCGCTGTCCGCTGCAACCAGACAGAGCTTCCCCTGAGCCCAACAGCA